GATCCATTTTTTGGTTTCAGTCTCCATGTGGTTGAACTAGCTGTCTCACCCCTCCATTCACATGAATTTCCTCATGTTGTGTCAGGGAGCTGGAATGGCAGTTTAGTTGAAGAGGTCAGGAAGGTGATTTGTGGTCCTACTTGTTAGGTCAGTGGTCACCAACCAGCAGATAGGGGATCTACCTGTAGATCTTGGAGCCTCTGACAGGTGATCTTGACTGGTTTGGCCGGGGAGCTATGGTACTTTAATTGTCACTTCACTCGCTGTCCTGCTGCTCCTGTCCTCTGCCTTGGAGTTGCCAACCTGGGAGCCTTCTGCCTGCTGAGCTGGGTGTGGGAGGGAGAAACAGGGGAGCACTCCTCCCCTCACCTCTGTACTCTACCTTCACACACAGAGCCTGCTTAACCCACTGCTCCACCACCCAGAAGCCATCTCAGTTAAATGGTGGCCAGCCAGAGTCTGCTTCCTGAACCCCTGTCTGAGCCCTGAACCACCGCCTACACTCAACCTCCTGCACCAGACGGGAGTCCCCCTGCACCTAAATTCCTCCTAGAGCTTACACCCTGAACCCTCTTCTGGACCCCAAACCCCTGCCCTGGGCTAAGCCAGGAACCCCTCCCACACTCCGAACCCCTTGGCCCAAGACTAGAGCCTGCACCCAAACCCCTACCCCAGCCTGGTGAAAGTGAATGAGGATGGGGGAGGCCCCAGAGAAAGGGTGGAGCAGGGGCAGAGCCTCTTAGAAGGGGCAGGAAGGAAGCGGGGCGAAGGCATTTGGATTTGAGCTAGATCTTACATTGCACTTAAATTAAAAAAGTGATCTTGTGGTTAAAAAGGTTGGAGACCACTGTGTTAGATACTCTCCTGATTGGCATGCAAAAAATCTGAATACACTTCAGGAATTTTTAGGGAACTTAACACTGAATATCCAGTTCTTAGTATCCCGTTGTCCCTGAAAAAAGAATGGTAGGTTAATTGTTTAAGTGAGCTGCATGAAAATACAGTAAGAAACATATTTATGAAATTATACCTTTGAATACTTTCAATGTGTGTTTGGGTGTCTAAGTGAACCAGTACCACATGATATTTTCTCTCACGCTGTATCTGATTTTGCAGAGGATTTCATTTTTTTTCTTTTAAAAATTAAGGCTAGGATCTTCAAAGGGACCTAAGAGAGTTAAGGCTTCTTTGAAGAACCATTTTGATGCCCTAAGTGTTCTGATTGTTGGGGGTAAAAAGCCTTTCAGATGTAACCTCAATACAATAGAAATGGAGGCAGAAGCAATAATTTGGGAGAAGTAGGCTTTGCCTTTTTAGTCTCTTTAGTGAGGTGTAATTTCTTCAGACAAGTGATAACAATTCAAAATTTCAATCTACTACCTCGTTTTGCAGTATATTCAATACAAAACATTCATTTTATTTGAGATTGTGAGAGGAATTCGAATAGGGCACCATCACAGGTTTGACCCCAGATGTTCTTGACTCTGAGTTTTTTGGGTTTTGCAGTATTGATGTCAAACATCATAAATGGAGCAATAGTAAAGTTTTGCCATGGATTGCCTTGTAAAGGTTTTATACTTCTCTTTGTATAAATCTTTCAGCATAAACATGATGAAGATACTTTAAAAAAACCCTTTCGTTCTAGTCTCTATAGGCATGGATATCTCATTTTCTATTTCCCCAGTGGGCTGGCTTTGTTTTTTCCAAAGGCTACTGAGATCCCAGTTTGGGAACATTATTAGATAAAAGTCAGTTTAGTTTTCATAATTTGTCCTTATTGCAGATCTTGATATTGTAGCTCATGATTGTAATTATCGTAAATAAAATTCACATTTATGAACATAGACCTTGGAGTAACTGCCAGGTGCAGGCAATGTCTTCCATTGCCAAATTGTTGTCTGTTATGTTAGGAAAAGGGAGAATAGCTTACTTCCTGTATTTTATAGGAGAATAAACACTTTGATTTAATCAACCCATTGATTATTAATCAAGTCCAGGAATGTAAATTTTCTTTTTGTTCTGCTACTGGTGGTAGTAATGTTATTGGCTCCTGGATACTGAGGTAGAGCATTACTATACTGGTGCATGAATGAAACATTTGATTGTACATTTTTTATTTTAATGTTTAGGGTATGCACGAACTTTTAGCACCTATTGTCTTTATCCTGCATTGTGACCACCAGGCTTTTTTACACGCGAGCGAAGCTGCTCAGCCAAGGTAAGTATTGCATATTTATCCATGTAATATAGATATTGACACATTTTCCCACATTATTGTAGAGTGAAGAATTAAGCTGTATCTTTTGGAGAATTAACATTTTGGCTTTAAAAAGAATCCAAATAGAACTGCTGGTTAAGTTTTCTTTAATTAGTTTTCTGTTTTTTCTCATGATTCAAAGATTAATCTTTGAGGTGTATTAATTGCTCCCATGCTTCCATCAACATCAAAAGTAACTCCTGGAAGGGCTTTTTGGAGAACTAATTCTTACATTTTAGTCAGTGAAAAAAGAGAAGGACCACCTAGAGAAGAAGTATCAACTTATCAGCTTTACATATACTATTTTCAGTGAATTGTACAACACCCAGACGTTCTTCAATCTCTGTCAATGAAGAGAAGAGGCAGACTGGAGAAGTCTAGCTCAGAATGGATACATTCTTTATCTATATTTTCTTCTCCTACCTTCGTATAATCACTATAGAGAAAATTGCAATGATTAATAATGCTTTCATCCCATACAAGATTTTTAATAGCTTTATTATGTGACCGTCATTTAACTTTAAAGTAATATTATGTTCAGGCATTGTTTCTGTGTTACATGAAGATAATGGGAACATAAATATTACAACACACATGATTATTCCTCAACCAAATTCAAATGCTTTCCATTCTCTCTGTCCACGAATAGAGCTTTTACTTGTTTTTTAACAAGTTGCCTGCTTGAATCACTTAGTCTAATGCAGCCATATTTTGCAGTTGTCTTACTACATTTACTTTTGGAACCCAGTTACATTAATATCATTTCATTACCCCTATTATAACTTAACCTCTCTTAGCAATGCTCAGCAAGATTGTCTAAGGTCACTGTTAGCATTGGGATGGGAGGTTTTTAAATGTATTTGTTTTCATTTGGTGTCTTTCTTCAGAAATTCTGAAGTTGCATTATAAGATGCGCTTCAGCAGAAAGTAAGCTTGCAGGATGCTCAGAATAATCATGTAATATGCATCCCATTCTATCTCCACTGAAAAGGGAGCTAGGCAGCAAAGTAGATGGATAAGAGGTACTGTCACTGATTAATTGCTGTTAAAATACAGTAAAAATAGAAGCTATTAAAACAAAATAAATTAATGTTTTGATATTGCATATTTGACCGGTAACCGTATTTTTTGTTTTGTTTTGGACAAACAGTGATAGATTGTGCAGTAATCAATTAGTCTAGATCAAGCATATTCAAATAATACATTGTGACATTCAGTAATTTGTTATTTGGAATAATTAGATGGTTACTTCATTGTAGCTCAGACAAGGCAGCTAATTTGTTTTTGATCTTTATAGAAAGAAAGACTTCATTTGTTCAGTGGAGTTACTCTTTTTAATTAAAAAGGCTAGTTTTTCTCATTTGCACTTTATATAAAGTTGGCTTATAAATACATCATAGCACATGGAGAACATTGACCAAAAATAAATATTCAAATATTGATTGTTCCCTGTTGGCTGTTTCAGTGAGGAAATGAAAGCTCTTTTGAACCCTGAATATCTGGAACATGATGCCTAGTAAGTTTTAAGAATTTCCTGTTGTATTTACATTTACTTTACTGTTGTGGCCAATTTATTATTTAACATTTATTTTAAATTTCTGGTTTTTCTCCTCAGTGCAATGTTCACGCATCTAATGGAAACTGCAGAATATTGGTTTTCAACTTCTGAACATGACAGTCAGAAGGTAAATTTTGTTGTATAAATAGATATTTATAGTAATTGTAATTGAACGTGCTTTAGGCAGCAAAATGAAATAAGTTGACATTAATAGTCATCTCCTTAATTAATTTAAAAATACATTATTTGTAGGTTTCCTGAGTATCCTTCTAGGTAGTAATTCCTTGTTGGTTACCACACTTGTAGAAAGCTGTCTAGTTGATTGCTCATGTAGATTGAAGGATAACATTGTAATTGTAAATCAGTTTACAATTTGATGTGTAATCATATGTTCAGCAGCTGTTTGTCTTGAGTTCGTCCTGAGCAGAGACTTCTCTCTTTTTGAATATTTGTTGCCTTAACTTTCTTCTAGTGACAATGATGTGTTCATGTATTTAGGAAGAATTGAGTGTGCAAAATGGGATGTGGTGGTACTCTATGTGAGAAATGCTATGTGAGAAATGGCATTACCTGATTTGAGTCACTGATAACTCAAAAGAAAATTGAATGCTAAAGGATCAATGTCCTAGAAAAACACCAAAAGCCACTAGGGAATAGGATGACTGTCTCCTTACACATCTCTCTACAATATGGAGGGGGGCAAAAGCTGTGGGATCATAGGAGATTTCAGCACAGCCCCCTCTCTCTACCCCATCTCCAAAAGGGCTGAAAGAAAATACTTTATTCCAATCATGGACCATGACTGTCTGTACTCCTTCCCCACTCCATACTTCCTGGTGGTAAAGATGGTCTACCAAAAGAAGAGATGGGCAATCATGGACAGCCCCCAAGGAAAAAACGCCAAGAAACTAGACTCACTCAGAAGAGTACAGTTGGGAGAGGCTAACCTCCAAGTCATCCTTGGCTACTCTGATTTCAGCATATGGTGGGCCATGACTAAGTTTGAGGATGTACTCCCAGAGAATTCCAGAAAGGAGTTCAGACTTCTCCTGGAAGAGGGAACAGCGGTAAACATCCATTAAGGGGGATGCTTACTGGTAAACTGGTTAACCATTTACATCCCTATAAAGTGGGTGAATAACTGGCTAGATAACCATTCCCAGAGAGTAAATTATCAGTGGTTCACAGTCCTGCTGGAAGAGCATAAACAAGTGGGGTTATGCAGGGATAACTTTTGGGACTGGTTCTGTTTAATATTTTCATCAACAATTTAGATAATGGCATATAAAAAATACAGATGATATAAAGTTCGCAGATTATACCAAGCTGGGAGGGATAGCAAGTGCTTTCAAGGATAGGGTCATAATTCAAAATGATCTGAACAAACAGGAGAAATGGTCTGAGGTAAATAGGATGAAGTCCAATAAAGACAAATGCAAAGTACCCCTCTTAGGAAGGAACAATCAGTTACACACATACAGAATTGGAAGTGATTGTCTAGGAAGGGAGTACTACAGAAAGGGACCTAGGGGCTATAGCGGACCACAAGCTAAATACGAGTCAACAGTGAGAGACTTTTGGAAAAAAGCAGTATCATTCTGGGATGCATCTACAGGATTGTTGTGAAGAAGACACAAGAAGTAATTCTTCTGCTCTACTCTGTGCTGTTTAGGCCTCATCTGGACTATTGTGTCCCAGTTCTGAGCACTACATTTCAGGAAAGATGTGGACAAATTGGAGAAGGTCCAGAGAGCAACAAAAATTATGAAAGGTCTAGAAAACATGACCTATGAAGGAAGACTGAAAGAATTGGGCTTGTTTAGTTTGGAAAAGAGAAGACTGAGCGGGGACAAGATAGCAGTTTTCCAGCAGTTTTCTAGTACTAAATGATGTTATTCTCCTTAATCTCTGATGATGGAATAAGAAGCAATGGGCTTAAATTGCAGCAAGGGAGGTTTAGGTTGGACATTAGGAAAAAATTCCTAACAATCAGGGTGGTTAAAAACTGGAATAAATTCTAGGGAGGTTGTGGAATTTCCATTGTTGGAGATATTAAGAGCAGGTTGGATAGGCATCTATGAGGAATGAACTAGACAGTGCTTTGTTCCGCTGTGAGGGTAGTGGACTGGATTGTGACTTCCCTTCCTGTTCTAATAGTCTATTATTCTGTGGTCTTGCCACATGAGACTGTTCACAGTTTACAGCATCTTTAATAACTCCTCCTTGTCCTACTTTACCAAGTGTCTGCATGGCTTCATGAAAATATCTTCATGATACATGTTTCCAAAATTGAACTATTATCCTTCGACAAGATGGTCATGCTCAAGCAAACTGTGTTCTCTCCTAAGTTCCCTCTAAGCAGTGCAGCCAGGTGGCTTTCCAGTTGTGTAACAAGTCCTGCTTAGCATGACTGCACAGAACACTGCCCATTGGCCCTAGCACGGAGCTGATGCAGCAGACCTGCTATGGCACCCAATGACTTGCCTCTCCCCCTGGCCATGGCTCCCAATCAGTAGCTGCCCCAGCACTGCTGCTGCCAAGGGGACATGCGCCCCTTCCCTGACCCCCATCTCAGCCTAGCATGGACCTGCCCTGGCTTGCCAACAGGCGCCCCTTCTCTTGCCCCAAGCTGCTGATGAGAGAGAGAGGGCTAGGAGTACTCCTCTCTCCCTGGGGCAGCCTGTACCCTCAACTCCTCATTCTTAGCCCTGCTCCAGAACCCAAAACCTAAGCCAGAACACTCATCCTGCACCCCAGCCCTAAGCCCCGTCCCATACCGCAACCCCTTGGCGCCACCCATGTCCGTGTGCAGAATGACTTTTATTATGTGATGTATCCCCTCCATCCATATAGGGGCAGATAACAAAATCATTCCACACATGGACATTTTTACCATCTCAACTCAGTCTTCCTATTCCCTTCACTATCAGTAGTAACACAGCATTCTCCTTTTCTTCTTCCCCCCGCCACTCCTTCAGCCACAGCTACTTATCTCCACAATATTGTGAGTGTACCGCTGCTTGAATTCCACTTTACTTAATTCCTAATCCATGCCTTGATCTCCTCTCTTCTTAACTATTGAATTCTTTGATACCCCTCTTCCTCTATGGTTTCTGCTATTCATACTTAAGATTTAAAATTTTCTGTATATTTTGATCACACATAAAAAACAGGCTATATCATTTCATACTCAGCTCCATTTAATTTTTTATTCATTTCAAAATCTGGTTTAAACATTTCCAGGACCTTGATAAATTCCCCCCATTCTATCTGTTTTAACTCGTTTTTCATACTTTTATCTGTGCATCCTTTGCTCATGCAGCATAAGCTTTATACAATTTTATTATATACAATATAATATAATATATTATATTCCTCATTATACAATAAAATTCCTGGATCTTCTGCCCTAACAGAAGGTCATCAAGTCTAGCCCCCTGCCCAAAGCAGGACCACTCCCAACTAAATCAACCCAGCCAGGGCTTTGGCAAGCTGAGACTTAAAAGTCTCTAGGGATGGAGTTTCCACCACCTCCTTAGGTAACCCATTCCAGTGCTTCACCACCCTCCCAGTGAAATAGTTTTTCCTAATATCCAACCTAGACCTCTCCCACTGTAACTTGAGACCATTGCTCCTTGTTTTGTCATCTGTCACTACTGGAACAGCCTTTCTCCAGCCTCTTTGGAACCTCCCTTCAGGAAGTTGAAGGCTGCTATCAAATCCCCCCTCACTCTTCTCTTCTGTAGACTAAACAAACCCAAATCCCTCAGTCTGTCCTCATAGGTCATGCGCTCCAGCCCCCTAATCATTTTGGTCACCCTCCGCTGGACTCTCTCCAATGTGTCCACATCCTTTCTGTAGCGGGGGGGCCCAGAACTGGACATAATACTCCAGATGTGGCCTCACCAAAGCTGAATAAAGGGGAATAATCACTTCTCTGGATCTGCTGGCAATGCTCCTCCTAATGCAGCCTAATATGCCATTAGCCCTCTTGGCTACAAGGGCACACTGTTGACTCATATCCAGCTTCTCATCCACTGTAATCCCCAGGTCTTTCTCTGCAGAACTGCTACTTAGCCATTCGGTCCCCAGCCTGTAACAATGCTTAAGAGTCTTCTGTCCCAAATGCAGGACTCTACACTTGTCCTTGTTGAACCTCATCAGATTTCTTTTGGCCCAATCCTCTAATCTGTTCAGGTCACTCTGGACCCTATCCCTGCCCTCCAGTGTATCTACCTCTCCCCCTTAGCTTAGTGTCATCTGCGAACTTGCTGAGGGTGCAATCCATCCCCTCATCCAGGTCATTAATAAAGATGTTGAACCAAACCAGTCCTAGAACAGATCCTTGGGGCACTCTGCAAGAAACCGACCACCAACTTGATATCAAGCCATTGATCACTACCCCTTGGGCCCGACAGTCTAGCCAGATTTATATTCATCTTACAGTCCATGTATTCAATCCATATTCCCTTAACTTGCTGGCAAGAATATTGTAGGAGACCATATTAAAAGCTTGCTAAAGTCAAGGTATATCACATCCACTGACTTCCCCATATCCGCAGAGCCAATTACCTCATCATAGAAGCTAATCAGATTAGTCCGGCACGACTTGCCCTTCGTGAATCCATGTTGACTATTCCTGATCACTTTCCCCTCTTCCAAGTGCTTCAAAATGGATTCCTTGAGGATCCCCTCCATGATTTTTCCAGGGACTGAGGTAAGGCTGACTGGTCTGTTGTTCCCTGGATTGTCCTTCTTCCCTTTTTTAAAGATGGGCACTACATTTTCCTTTTTCCTATCATCTGGGATCTCTCCTGATCTCTACGATGTTTTCAAAGATAATGGCCAAAGGCTCCGCAATGACATTTGCCAACTCCCTCAGTACCCTCGGATGCATTCAGACTGGGCCCATGGATTTGTGTATGTTTAGCTTTTTTAAATAGTTCCTAACTTGTTCTTTCCCCACCAAGGACTGTCTACCTCCTTCCCATACTGTGTTGCCTAGTGCATTTGTCTGGGAGCTGACCTTGTCCATGAAGACAGAGGCAAAGAAAGCATTGAGTACTTCAGCTTTTCCCACATCATCTGTCACTAGGTTACCTCCCTCATCCAATAAGGGCCCCTCAC